AGCATACGATATAACCGACCTTTTCTTAAATATCTTTTACTCGAACCACGATATTTTTCACGTTCGTTGTTTAAGACTTCTTTAACGGCATTTTCCCACAGTACAATTTTATCAACTTTAATATTTTCATTATCACTATTTGATGAAGTACTCGTAGATAGCGTATCTTTACCGGTATCTATAGGTGACCATATGTGATCACTCTTTAAAGATTGATCCATAGCTTCAAATAGTCCTTTGAGAAACCATTTACGATTCATACCCTTTTCAGATACCATCTTTAAATGATCAGGTTTGACTTTAACACCAGCCTCTACGTATTGAGAAAAATATTGTGGAGATCCTTGAAGTAATGGACATCTAGTATTATTATTACGTTTAAACTTGCTAAATAATGTATTACGATTAGCCTGCATCTTTAAATTCTTTTCACAAACGTCTCTTATTATAGCATTGAAACATTTTTCAGTAATTATATCCTTGGATCCAAATGTAGTGAGAATAAATTCTACACATATACAACCTACACCATAACCGTAATAACTAGCATCATTCCTGCTACATATAACACCACCTGTCCTTGAATCAGCAAATAATGTGTTAAGATTTTCTCTAACTTTTGGTCGAAATTCAGGAAAATAATGCCAAAGAGATTCAATATTATCAGGAGCACCATTATAAGAGTATATAGAATGAAATTTATCATTAATTGAATGTACGACAACGGCGTTGAGGTCAAAAGGTAGTTCATCTTTTTTTTCAATTAAAGTTTCAATTATAACATTAGGAATTTTGTATAAACCACAATTCCTAATTAATTCTAAAGCTAATTGTTCTAAAACTGGATAATTAAAACTGAAAATGTTCACCAAAGCTTTCTTTAAATGAGTAGGAGTTGGTTTGTTATAAATTAATTTTTCAATTATAGTAGGAACTATATTTGAAAATTCATATTGATCAAAATGAGTTAAATCATTCAATGCCATATCTAAAAGTTGATTATCACCAATACGAGCTATAGTAACAAAAGTATCAGAAATATTGACAAAACAATACTGAAGGGGTAAAGGTACTACATGATATTTCTCAACCAAATCACGAATATATTCCCTATTAGTATCATGAGTAGCAGTAGTATTTAACATATTATTATCTACATTATCAAAGTCCAAACCAGATTGTAAAGAAACACATATGCGAAATTGTTCCCAATCATCCATTGCATCTTTAGCCCATAAGTTATCACCATATAAAGTGTAAGCACGTTGAAGGAATACTAAGTAAGTACCAAAAGTCAATTTACTAGTCCAACAACAGCGAAAATATTCACTCGGTTGTCTTTCTAAATAATCTTTTATAAGACGTTGAGCCAAGTTTCGTGATACGACGGCACCAGAAGATATCATTGCTTCAGCAGTTTCTTTTGTAACAATTTTAGCATGATTCCTTATAGCATAAAAGATAGCTAACCGAGGACCATATTTACGAAGGAAGTAAGCGGCCCTTGCATGAGGGTCTTTTGTAACACAATGAAGAGTCCTGCATGTTAAAGAAAAGGCGGCCGGTCGGTGTAAATACGTAAAAATTTTGAACAATAGTTCATTGGCAAGCTGGTCAAGCGTTGGCATTTACACGAGAGAGTAAATAGACGGAGTGAAGTGACGAGATGAACAAATGGGAATTCTTGTGATGTAGGAAAGATTGAGAAAAAAAAAGCTTAGAAAGTTATA